AGCAGTTATTTACAACGCTGCACTGGTGCGAAATACTCAAGCCTCCCCCCCCCTCACATGTCACGGAAAGACTGCTGAAGCTTTGAATATTAATTCGGGATTACTTAAATCTTACTAGGATTAAACCATAGATCAGCAAAATTTCTAAAGTTAATTGTCCATCATTATCTGAAATTTCTGACTTATGTCAGTGAATGTTCGGTCAGTAGTGATATTACGAAAAACTTCTGCTGATCCCGGGAAAAGTTAGAATACCCTTTCTTGCGCTGCTCTTACTTGAGAGTAACGGTGGTGTAAAAACGTCTCTCATTGAAGACGTTGTCAACGTTGCGAAATAACAGATGTTCAGAGGACATTCACTATGTGCCGATAGCAACTCTAGTTGCATTAGCGAACAGACTTTGATGAACCTAATATAAGTTCAGTGTTTTTGGGTTTATCTGCCATTTGAAACTATTTGTCTATTGTTATCATCCTGGCAATGAGTTTCAGTAGTGAATTTCGCTATTATTTCATGCTGATTTTTATATTGTGTTCCTTCGGGACAGTCGACCGCAATGTCTATGAAAATTCCTTCACAGATCTTTACTCGCAAGTTTGGTTTCCGTCAATTTAGCTGTCGAAGATTACAACAAAGTTTCTTGCTGTTAGTACTGGAAAAAACGGATTGTACATTTGTTTGCATATGTCATCATCAGTAAGTATGACGAAAGGATAACTACCAGGAGCTGTACTAAAGAACCTCGTATCCTGCCTCTGTAGCTGAATGAAGAGCTGCAACTACGATCATCTAAGTCGCAAATCGAACATCCCACATGGATAGCAGTGGGTGTTAGGAAGGTTCATCGGTTTTGAGGTGCACGGCTCAAAATCCAAGACGGCTTAAAATTTTCTCAATAACTGCTGAACCCGTTGAGCACAGAATTCACCCAAACATGCTGCGGTGTGGCTAAGCGAGAAACGGTTGGCTTTCTTTGACCTGCAACTAATGGGAGCATTATGGTGTTCAAGTGTGGTCATGTCAGGGCTTACGAGAGGTACGATTGTTGCGCCATCGTCATATGAGGCTAACATAACTTAAATAGCAGAGTAACCCAGGTTTATGGCGTCTGACCGTTAGAAAAAGTACTTCTGATTGATATTAAACAACGTTCGTTGCTGCGGCGAAGGTCATATTCTTGCGACAAGCAGGTTTGTCTCAACGAGGTTACTTCATGTTTTGTATTATCCTGAGACTCATCTGCAAAAAGAAGATTCTCTATGCAGAAGTTGAGTGTTTATGGGTCAGATTTCGTGGTGAAGACGCTTGAACTACTCTGTGGAAGTTAGCCGTTCATCGCATAGGAGTCGCAAACAGCGCACGGCTCAACCGTTCACCGCCACGAAAACGGAAAGAGTGGAACAACGGTGTAATGTAATGCTGTCTGATACATCCGCCTTTGGATTGCTATTCATCTTGACCAGCCTAATTGCTAACTGCAAATCAGCAAAAGGTGTAAATAGCTAATTTAATAAAATTTCCATTGAGGTAAAACCAAGAATCAGAGGTTGGGGTTTCAATTCAAAGTAGTAAATATGCTGGACTGGAGACAACAAGACCTGTCTGAAACAGCATATCGCTTTTTTGGGTGTTTTCTTGGCGCAGTACTTTCTCAATTTCCATTTTTAGCATTCCTTCTCTAATAGGTTGCTTGTTTTGAAGGATGGGTGCCAACTGGTTTGTGCAAAAGGAAGAGTTAAAAATAGGTGTCCTCGTTTGCTGTTCAGAGAAGCTTCCGCTGAGCAGTAAGCAGCACCAAGTTCCTCAATTTAATGTTGCCCACCGACAGTGCGTGAAAGTGCCGTTTTCCTCTTAGCGTTGCATGAATGGCACCGTGGGTCGCAGCTGCTCACCTATCAGACCAATTGATTGCTGTCTTTGAAACTGCCGTCTGATGAC